CCCCGGGTCTGCGCCCCCGTATGATCCCGTCCCCGATCTATGCGGTTGCTGGTCTACGCTCTTATATACAGACTTTTCAGACCTCGGCGTGCTCGACGAACTGCTGAGTCTAGAACAAACTGGAGAGCTTATCTCTCAAAGAGGCTTGTACTATAAGCTGGCCCCGTACTTTGACAACCAGGGCCAAGCCAACCACCACCTTCAAAGTACGTGCTGCGTTCTCCTGCCTACCAGCCGCAACCATAGGACTAGTCAACGTGTTGGGCGTCTCCCGAGAGGACCTAGGGGTGATACCAGCACCCAAGGGCCTCGTGTTCAGCAGGTCTCTCCTCTTGGACGGGACCGTAATGGAAAGGCCCTTACTCATAGACCAGGCTGTCGCAACCAAGGTAGTCATTGAGTGGCCGCCCTTACTAACGCCGCAAACGGCTACCCGACAGAGCACAGATGTAATGCAAGAATGGACTGTCATCATCCTCGAAAAACACTGTACCAATGACACCGACCCTGCACCACCAGTGACGACCAGACCTGGTCAACCTGACCTAGTCAACCTGACCTGGTCAATCAGACCTGGGTCACAGTGGGGTTTCGGGACCTGGGTCACAGTGGGGTTTCGGGGGTCGGTCCCCGTGTTCTCGATCGAGAGAGCCAGGTCGACCTTTTAGGTCGAGATCGGACCAGCCCGTATTCTGATCAATACCCCTCCCTGATCAATACCCCTGCAATTTACTTCCATCTCCCCCAGGTCAACTCGTTGTTCTGTAGCAGCATTTGAATCGTTGGTGCCTTGGATTCCCAATAGTTGGTGCTTGATCACTGGCCGTGGATTTCCGGATGTCGCCACGAGGAAGTTTCTAACACGTCTAGTTCAGTCATGGCAATCACAGCGAAAACGCTCGTTCGCAACAGGAGAGGACTTCCCCCCACCAACGAGACTACTCTACGTGGGTGACTACGACCCTCACGGTATACACATTTACTTCCAGTATGTCTGCAGCATGTGCCGAGGCGAGTCCGATGAAGTGGGGTTGAGCGAATGCGAGAGGGTGGTGCTACTGGGGATAGATCCGGATACCGCTGACAGCCTTCCCGAAAGCCACATGCCACTGACTTCCAAGGACATCACGTTGCTTAACAATCTAATAATTAATCCTTGTGAGATTCCACTGTCAGTTTCCGTACCCATGCCGCCCCTTCCATCAACTTCCATGCCGAGGGCAGCGGACTTCGCCCCTTCCCAGATCTCCGCCCCTTACCAGAACCCTCGTTGTAGGCATGCCGAGGTCCCTTCAGATTTTGGCAAGTCGTATGCTAAGGGGGGGTTACAAGTGCGAAATCGAGGGTCTGGATACAACCTTGTTTCAGTGGGTCCTTAGAAGGCTAGGTAATTTTGTCGTTTGAAAATGGAGGGTCCGATATCTGTGACGATGCCCGCTGACCCAAAAGTGTCGGTGTCGGGCAGTCCCAGCACGGCCAGTGTGGCTTCAGGCTTGTTTCAAACCGCCAAGCACCCTACAACTTGCGTGCTGCACATCGCATTCAAAGTCGCAGCTCTTGTTATGTAATCACCCTCGCGTGCTTTCCCCCTCACCGCACACGTGGATGCCTGCACTTTGATTTGGGAGTGCCTATCGCCAGATCATTTGCCCGACTATCCCCCTT